TTGGGCTCATTAGACTAAAGGACATGGTTCTAGTAATCCATGTCCTTAGTCTGCTTGTCTTCAGCAAACTGTTTGCGGGCTTTCTTGCGTCATCTTTAGAAGAGGCTTCCTTCTGGGACGACAGCCATGCAGACCAATTTTATGCAGTGTGCGGCGTATGGTCAGAGCACTGACAGACTGACCCCCTCACCCCTTCAACCTCTGCAGCAATGCTGGCAGCACACATACGCTTATTTCCCAATGACAACCTCTGGATATGATGCTGAGCACGTGCACTCAACTTCTTTGGTTGACCATGGCGAGGCCTGTTCTGAGTGGAACCTGTCCTGTTCAACTGCTGTATGGTCTTGGCCACCATGCTGCAGCTCAGTTTCAGGGTCTTGGCAATCTTCTTATAGCCTAGGCCATCTTTATGTAGAGCAACTATTCTTTTTTTCAGATCCTTAGAGAGTTCTTTGCTATGTGGTGCCATGTTGAACTTCCAGTGACCAGTATGAGAGAGTGAGAGCCATAACACCAAATTTAACACACCTGAGACCGTGTAACACTAACGAGTCACATGTCACTGGGGAGAGAAAATGGCTAATTTTGCCCAGTTTGGACATTTTCACTTAGAGGTGTCACATGAAAAGATATAATAAAGTATCTACAAAAATGTGAAGAGTGTACTAACTTCTGTGAGATACTGTGTGTGTGTGTGTGTGTGTGTGTGTGTGTGTGTGTGTGTGTGTGTGTATATATATTAGTGACAGCTCTTTGGATCTCATCTTGAGAGTTGACAGCAACAGATTCCAAATGCAAATAGCACACTTGAAATGATCTCTGGACCTTTTATCTACTCATTGTAATTGGGATAATGAGGGAATAACACACACCTGGCCATGGAACAGCTGAGAAGCCAATTTTCCATTACTTTTGGTCCCTTAACAAGTGGGAGGCACATATGCAAACTGTTGTCATTCCTACACCGTTCACCTGATTTGGATGTAAATACCCTCAAATTAAAGCTGACAGTCTGCAGTTAAAGCACATCTTGTTCGTTTCATTTCAAATCCATTGTGGTGGTGTATAGAGCCAAAAATGTTAGAATTGTGTCAATGTCCCAATATTTATGGACCTGACCGTATATATTACACTATATTGCTAAAAGTATTGGGATGCTTGCCTTTACACAAACATGAACTTTAATGGCATCCCAGTCTTAGTCTGTAGGGTTCAATATTGAGTTGGCCCACCCTTTGTAGCTATAATGGCTTCAACTCTTCTGAGAAGGCTGTCCACAAGTTTTAGAAGTGTGGGAAGAATGGTCAAACATTCCCATAGACAAAGTGCATTTATGAGGTTAGGCACTGATGTTGGACGAGAAGGCCTGGCTTGCAGTCTCCGCTCTAATTCATCCCAGAGGTATTCTATTCGGTTGAGGTCAGGACTCTGTGCAGGCCAGTCATCTTCCTCCACCCCAGACTCGCTCATCCATGTCTTTATGTACCTTGCTTTGTGCACTGGTGTGCAGTCACGTTGGAACAGGAAGGGGCAATCCCCAAACTGTTCCCACAAAGTTGGAAGCATGAAATTGTCCAAAATGTCTTGGTCTGCTGACATCTTAAGAGTTCCCTTCACTGGAACTAAGGGGCCAAGCCCAACCCCTGAAAAACAACCCCACACTATAATCCCCCCTCCACCAAACTACACTTGGCACAGTGCAGTCAGGCAAGTACCATTCTCCTGGCAACCGCCAAACCCAGAATCGTCCATCAGATTGCCAGAGAAGCATGATTGGTCACTCCAGAGAACACGTCTCCACTGCTCTAGAATCCAGCAGTGGCGTGCTTTACACCACTGTATTTGCATTACACTTAGTGATGTAAGGCTTGGATGCAGCTGCTTGGCCTTGGAAACCCATTCTATGAAGATCACACTGTTGTTGTGCTAATCTGAAGGCCACATGAAGGTTGACTCTGCAGACAGTTGGCGACTCTGCAGACAGTTGGCGACTTTTGCACACTGCGCTTCAGCATGCGCTGACTCTACTCTGTCATTTTACGTGGCCTACCTCTTTGTGGCTGAGTTGCTGTTGTTCCCAGTTGCTTTCACTTTGTTATAGTACCACTAACAGTTGACCGCGGAATATTTAGTAGCAAGGAAAGTTCACGGATTGCACAGGTGGCAACTTATCACAGTACCACGCTTGAATTCAGTGAGCTCTTGAGAGCGACCCATTCTTTCCTAATGTTTGTAGAAGCAGTCAGCATACCTAGGTGCTTGATTTTATACACCTGTGGGCATGGGGGTGAATGGAATACCTAAATCCAATGATTTTGGAGTGGTGACCCTATACTTTTGGCAATAAAATATATTATAGTACAGGGGTTAAAATTTCAAGTCCAGACCTACTAGCCGGTCACAAAACTTACTCTCCACCAGTTGGCCCACCCAACCTTGCCCAGGTCCGCCCCCAGACCTACTAGCCGGTCACAAAACTTACTCTCTACCAGTTGGCCCACCCAACCTTGCCCAGGTCGCCCCCAGACCTACTAGCCGGTCACAAAACTTACTCTCCACCAGTTGGCCCACCCAACCTTGCCCAGGTCCGCCCCCAACCTTGCCCAGCCCACCCCCAACCACTCTCCCTTAATGCTTATGAAATTAAATTTTTCTTAAAATAGTCCAAAATATAAAACTGTATACAGTAATGTATATCCCAGCTGCCCTGTACTCCATTATTGATATGACATGTATAAAGTAATCATTACTGTATATATGTCATATCACTATAATGGAGTACAGGGGAGCTGGTATATACATTACTGAGTAATGTAGCGCTCTTCAGAGGCAGGGGTGCTTAGTTTGCATTAAAGAGCTTTAGAAACAGTTCAACGCTTTTTCAGAAAGTAAAATTTATTACTAAAAGGTCAAAAGGGTGCAATAAAAATATTTACAGAAAAAGATGTAGCCAATATATATATCTAAATATACAGAAAGCAATAGCACAGCAAAGAGATAACAGAAAGAAGCTTAGAGGGATAAAGTACTTGCCGTCAGCCTTGGGTTAAGCAGATCAGGTTTCAGAGCCAAAAGGGTCTTATCTCCCAAAGTTAGTTCCGATGTTAAAAGGGGGATTCTTCAACTTCAACTTCAACTCAGCTTAGCTTACCTTCAAGCATCACAGCCTTTATCTAGGAACTCAGCAGGGTGTCTCCCTGAAGCAGAGAACCAATCGCCTCATTTGGGCGGGTGTGGCAGACGGAGACCCAAGCTATGACCAAAGATCCCTCCTAGCTTATATTATGGTTCATAACTTACCCTGGATACATATAACATTCTATCCACGAGTAGATTAATACGCAGAATCTTCTGCTGAACGTCTAGGTATGAAATATGAGATACCTGCTGGGTTAAGGAGATATTATTTTCTGCTCTCCTGTGATCTCAGCTAGGGGATGTAATATACCAAATGACTTGTCTTAAAGTGAGCCGTCTGAATATGTGCTCCATGTTTATGTAATTATGTCCTATTTGAAGATATAAAATCATATGTAAAAGTGAGTTTTTAAATGTAAATCTGTTTTTACGACTACCTGGAATGTCTTTAAAGCTCCGTGAGGGCTGGTTTGTGGTTTTACGATCCCTTCTCCAGCAAGAGTCTGGCAGACATAGGGGCACTAGCTAGTGAGGTTTATAGCCATGACGCCCTCCCAATGAGTTTGCTGCCTGTGATCTCTGTCATCATCCAGACCACATGTCACTCAACAGAAAGGAAGGGGGGATATCGGAGGAATCTGATTTGGGAGAGAGAGATACAAAATGGAGGGGTTTGGCACAAAATGGATGACCACGTCCATCTCTGTGAGCATGATTGCTACAGTGTGCCCCAAAGAACTAGTGGTCAGAAGGACCAGTATCTATAGCAGCAGTGCTGAAAAGTAGCCAGGTGGGCTAGTGTTTTCATTTGTATTGTGTATATTTTGCTGGAGAAGGACTTTCCTTTTTTTCCTTTTAATAAAAATGGGCTACCAAGCCCTGAAAAATAGTTCCTGACTGGCGTGAACTCCCTTGCTAACGCATCTACAACGGAGCTAAACAGCCCCAAATATTACAACACACACGATACATCTACTGTTTGGTTTCTCAGTTATTTTTGGTATCTTTGGGGGGACCGCTAAAGCACCATACATTATTGCTCTAAATAAATAAACTATCCACTTTGATGACAATTTCCAGTAAGTGTAATTGCAGATATACTCTGAATTCTATAGGCTTTAATTCTTTTGCAACATGGTTTAAGAATAGCACTTTTAAGGTGGCCATAGATGAGTTGTAATTCAGGCGGTTCAGCAGGAATTTCAGTCCATCTACGGATAGGCTGGATGAAGTTGATTGTTTCAGTACAACCAGCCTGTCAGGTTTTTTTGTGCCATCATTGCTGGCAGCACTGATCATTGTACACTGGCGGTGGGGAAGGCTCGCCGGCAGCACTGATCATTGTACACTGGCAGTGGGGAAGGCTCGCCGGCAGCACTGATCATTGTACACTGGCAGTGGGGAAGGCTCGCCGGCAGCACTGATCATTGTACACTGGCAGTGGGGAAGGCTCGTACACTGGCCGGCAGCACTGATCATTGTACACTGGCAGTGGGGAAGGCTCGTTGGTAGCAGTGATCATTGTACACTGGCAGTGGGGAAGGCTCGCTGGCAGCACTGATCATTGTGCACTGGCAGTGGTGAAGGCTCGCCGGCATCACTGATCATTGTACACTGGCAGTGGGGAAAGCTCTTCGCCAGAAGAACACAATGGCACTGCGGGAGGGATTCCCCCATTTTACTGACTGTGTTGATTTGGGAAATGAGCAATATTCTTTCAACCTGTGGTTGAAGAAAATACAATTGCATTATGTATGGCCTGCCTTAGTTGTAGTATAAATAATTGGGTTATAAACTAGAGGATTCATTTTAGATGGAATGCTGTGTAAGAGCTAAATATTTTTTTTTTTCTTTTAAAGATACCTGTCATAAGAGCGTTTGGAATCTTGAAAAAGGCCGCAGCTGAAGTAAATAAGGATTATGGTCTTGATCCTAAAATCGCTGATTACATTGCCAAAGCTTCTGATGAGGTAAACCATAAAATATCTGTTTGACAAAAAGTTGTCCATTTTCACTTGTCTGCACAGTTTAGGATTGATATAATTTTTATCATAACATTTACCAAACCAAAGCAAATGTCATTAGAAGTTTATATATTCGGAAGTACTCATTGCAGTTTTTAGTGTCAAGTACAAATGTGGTGTTCCAGATTTCTAAACCATCATTGTTATTTATCAGTAATTGGTTTTATTAACAGGAGTGTCTATGTTCAGGCATTAGGTCTTAGGCTGGCCATACATTATACAATTATCTTCCAATTTTCTGCCCAATTTCCTTTAGATTTACCTTCAACTGTGTAGTGCAAGGGCGTGCCTAATTGGATACAACTGAAAGTGTTGTTTAGCTTTGTCCTCCTATTATATGGTTTTTGGTAAATCTAAACCAAAAATCTCCAGCCTTAGTTTACTGAGATCAGCAATTGAGGGTGTACAGAAAAAAACATTGAGGATTGGCTTTGACAAAATCATTAATTGGAACACTTATAATGTTGAATTAGTGAATGAAGCAGGCATTTGTATGAACAGGTCCTAAATTTTTTGGGTGAAGTGTGATAACAGCAAACTGTATCTATGGAGGAGCAGCTTTGTCCTAGGACAGGACTACAGAACATCTTCTTATTTCTTTTTCATAACATACGGAGAGATGTTCTGTAATCTTCAGAAGTAAGCTAGGCAGGGTAGATATTGTTTGCAATAAAACTGCAGAGGACACAGGATAGCACTGGATTTCTGGCAGGGTTAATAGGTATTTTTCATAATTATCGAACAGATATTTAATAAAAAACATAAATTCTTTATTTAAAGTGGAAGAAAGGCCTTTCCTCCCCCTCCTCATACCTTTTTTTTTTTTTTGCATTCTATACTTACCGAATTTGAATCCAGTCTGGTCATATGATCCCACAGCTCCAGTTCCCCTGTGTCAGTGAGTGGCTGCTGCAGGGGAGAGGAGGGAGTGCTGTCAAAGATATATGAGAGCCTATGGGTGACATCACAGCTTCAGGAATTCAGAGACATTGTTGAGTGCTCCCTTACACAGACATGACTGGTATGGGAGAAGATAAAAAATAGGTAAGTATACAGATTCTTTTTTTTTTACCGGTTAGGCAGGATAGGTCAGAAGGGGGGAAGTGAACATTTTTTAAGAATAAATGTAGTTAGGATTAAATAGAAACTGTCACCTTGCCCATGCAGGGCAAAATGATCGCAAAGGGCTCTCTTGATCCCCATTATACCTGCCTGACCCGTGCACTTCGGCTGCTCCTTCCTCTGCAGATGTCCGTAACACCCAACACTTCCAGGTATAGAAGAGCAGGTGACCTCCTTTCCTGTCCCAGTGCTCGAGGTCTACCAGCCAATTGTTAGGCCCAGGCACTGTCATATGGCAGTATCCCTGACACTCCCAGGTCACTGAACACATCTTTTTAAGCAGTTCTTTTAGAGAAGAAAAAAAGCATGCATTTCATGAACATTACCATAAACCTTCGTGTCATTTGATTTTACTTTACAATACCAAAATACCATGTTCATAGGAACATTTTATTACTAAATGAAGTCTCCCAAGACTTCCATAACATTAAGTTTTCATCAATCAACCTTTCTTCAAGCTTAAAACCTAGCTACATTGTCAATGTAATGTATTGTAAATTCCTATATTTTTGAGAATTTGGGTAAGATCGTCTTTTTTTCAGTGTTTACATATTCAAGATGGATTATTTTTCTTTTCCAATAAAGGTTTCTAGTGGTAAATTAGATGATCATTTTCCATTAGCTGTGTGGCAGACTGGCTCTGGAACACAGACCAATATGAATGTAAATGAAGTTATCAGTAATCGTGCTATTGAGATGATGGGTGGAAAGCTGGGAAGCAAAGATCCAGTACACCCCAACGATCATGTTAACAAAAGCCAGGTATGTCAGATATGCATTTACACGATAAAGTGTTCTTGATACTGTTTCTAATACATTCTGCAACCTTATTGCGCTATATACAAACACTTTCACAAGCCAATAAATTTTAGGTTTGTGTTTTGCCCATCATACCCTTTATGTAAGCTGCTAGTCTGGTCCAGTTACCTCCTGTGGCCTGCAATGATAAAATGGGCAGCACAGTGGCTAAATGGTTAGCACTTCCGCCTGGCAGTACTAGGGTTGTTATTTCGAATCCCAACCACGGCACCACCTGCCTGGAGTTTGCATGTTCTCCCTGTGCCTGCGTGGGTTTCCTTCGGGTACTCCGGTTTCACACACTCCAAAGACATGCTGGTGGGTGAATTGGATCCTGTCTAAATTGGCCCTAGTATGTGTATGTATGAATGTGAGTTGGGGACCTTAGATTGTATGCCCCTTGAGGGTTAGGGACTGATGTGAATGTACAATATATATGTAAAGTGCTGTGTAAATTGACGCCGCTATATAAGTACCTGAAATAAATAAAATGAAATGCACGGGGAGAAAAGGATAAGCTTACATATAATATGCTGTAGTATCAGGTTATATGTTGGTTGACGGGTCTATATTAAAGTTGACCTGAAAAGTGATTATTTGCTATAATAAACAACGGTTTAATTGTTTACATGTGGGATCAAGGCATTGGTTTGCCTCTGTCTCACATTGCTGTCCCCCCTGAAGCTGGGGGTTGTGGTCCTGGGCTCATGTTAAGAGTGGGAGAGCCTAGGAAGCATGGTTGGAGGGGAGCCGCCAGCAGGAGGGGGCACTGCGGCATTGGCTCTGTGAAAGTGTCGGCGGCTAAAGAAGTGGATCGGCGCTGGGGCTGGCTAAAAAAGCCCACCAGTGATAGCTGCTACACAGCCATCGCTTGTGATTTCACGCTGGAAGTACATAGTACAGCCAAACAGTTGAACTAGTTAAAAGAAAGAAAGTCCACACAAATATGCTGCATAGCTGCTACTCCTCTAACTCAGATATCTACCATGGCCGAAATTGTTGGCACCCTTGATATTTTTCCTGTGATTTTCACGAAAAATTGCATTAACACATGTTTTCACATGTTTATTCCCTTTGTGTGTATTTGGAAGTGTCACACACCTCCAAAAATGGGTACAAAAGTATTGGCCGGATAAATAAGAAAACATGTGATGCTCCTGTAAAACCTGGGGCAAGTAGGTGTGGGTAGAAATCACACCTGAAAGCAGATAAAAAGGAGAGACGTTCACTTAACCTTTGCATTGTGTGTCTGTCTGTGCCACACTAAGCATACAGAAAGAGGAGACGAGAACTTTGAACCAAAATTGTGGCAAAATATCAACAATCAAGGTTACAAGTCCATCTCCATGGGCAGAGGATTTATTCAGGGAGCATCAGTGTCAGCACCCTTCAAATATGCTGGCATATTTAAGAGCTACTCCTCTAACTCAGCTCTCTAAGATATGTATGTCTAATTAAAGATTGTTCATCAACATATTAGGGATGCTTATTGCAAAGATTAAGTACACTTTTGTACAGAATGCCCTAATTCCTCTTGCATTCCCTGTCCCACATGTACATTTTCCTGCACCCCACAGACCTCTACAATGTTGGAAGCCTTAGGCTGAATCATCTTTGCTCTTTTCCATAAATGTCTTTTTCCACAAGCTACCATTGGTTTCCACATGCCAGCATTACTAAATCACAATATTGCTGATAGAATGTAGTACTTATTTTTATTCTTCTTTGACTATATATATATATATATATAAAATCTAAGCATAGTCTCTACCTGGAGCATTGGAGGTGTTTTACTGCTGCGTCTATTCTTTTCCCATCACGTAGACCCTGTTTAGTTGCCTTGATATGAAGAAAGCAGGTAGCAGAGCCTACATGTGTAATGAGAAATGACGGCTTCACCCGTGTGTGTGCATATATATATACACAGTCAGGTCCATAAATATTGGGACATCAACACAATTCTAACATTTGAGCATGAAGCCAAACATTTTTGAAGTTTTTTTTTATACTGTATATATACTGTAGTTAGAAATGGTAACTGTGGTTAGAAACCTTGCACCCAAATACAGTCAGGTCCATAAATATTGGGACATCGACACAATTCTAACATTTTTGGCTCTATACACCACCACAATGGATTTGAAATGAAACGAACAAGATGTGCTTTAACTGCAGATTGCCAGCTTTAATTTGAAGGTATTTACATCCAAATCAGGTGAACAGTGTAGGAATGACAACAGTTTGCATATGTGCCTCCCACTTGTTAAGGGACCAAAAGTAATGGGACAAAATAATCATAAATCAAACTTTCACTTTTTAATACTTGGTTGCAAATCCTTTGCAGTCAATTACAGCCTGAAGTCTGGAACGCGTAGACATCACCAGACGTTGGGTTTCATCCCTGGTGATGCTCTGCCAGGCCTCTACTGCAACTGTCTTCAGTTCCTGCTTGTTCTTGGGGCATTTTCTCTTCAGTTTTGTCTTCAGCAAGTGAAATGCACGCTCAATCGGATTCAGGTCAGGTGATTGACTTGGCCATTGCATAACATTCCACTTCTTTCCCTTAAAAAACCCTTTGGTTGCTTTTGCAGTATGCTTTGGGTCATTGTCCACCTGCACTATGAAGCGTTGTCCAATGAGTTCTGAAGCATTTGGCTGAATATGAGCAGATAATATTGCCAGAAACTCTTCAGAATTAATCCTGCTGCTTTTGTCAGCAGTCACATCATCAATAAATACAGGAGAACCAGTTCCATTGGCAGCCATACATGCCCACGCCATGACACTACCACCACCATGCTTTACTGATGAGGTGGTATGCTTAGGATCATGAGCAGTTCCTTTCCTTCTCCATACGCTTCTCTTCCCATCACTCTGGTACAAGTTGATCTTGGTCTCATCTGTTCATAGGATGTTGTTCCAGAACTGTGAAGGCTTTTTTAGATGTCGTTTGGCAAACTCTAATCTGGCCTTCCTGTTTTTGAGGCTCACCAATGGTTTCATCTTGTGGTGAACCCTCTGTATTCACTCTGGTGAAGTCTTTTCTTGATTGTTGACTTTGACACACATACACCTACCTCCTGGAGAGTGTTCTTGATCTGGCCAACTGTTGTGAAGGGTGTTTTCTTCACCAGGGAAAGAATTCTTCAGTCATCCACCACAGTTGTTTTCCGTGGTCTTCCGGGTCTTTTGGTGTTGCTGAGCTCACCGGTGCGTTCCTTCTTTTTAAGAATGTTCCAAACAGTTGTTTTGGCCACCCCTTAAAGTTTTTGCTATCTCTCTGATGGGTTTGTTTTGTTTTTTCAGCCTAATGATGGCTTGCTTCACTGATAGTGACAGCTCTTTGGATCTCATCTTGAGAGTTGACAGCAACAGATTCCAAATTCAAATAGCACACTTGAAATGAACTCTGGACCTTTTATCTGCTCATTGTAATTGAGATAATGAGGGAATAACACACACCTGGCCATGGAACAGCTGAGAAGCAATTGTCCCATTACTTTTGGTCCCTTAACAAGTGGGAGGCACATATGCAAACTGTTGTAATTCCTACACCGTTCACCTGGTTTGGATGTAAATACCCTCAAATTAAAGCTGACAGTCTGCAGTTAAAGCTCATCTTGTTCGTTTCATTTCAAATCCATTGTGGTGGTGTATAGAGCAAAAAATTTTAGAATTGTGTTGATGTCCCAATATTTATGGACCTGACTGTATATATGAGAGAGAATTGTTTTTTGTTTCAGTTTGATGAAACTGAACTAAAGGTCATTTTAAATTACGTGCAGGCAGATTATTTTTTGCAGAAGAAACATTGTGTCTTCTGCAATACAAACAAACTTGACTGCCTGTTTGCAATCTTCTTTAGAATGTACACTGAGCTGTGCATTGGTAGCTCCTTGTAAAAACTCAGCCTGGTGCCTTGGTGTTGGAATGAACCCCTGTGCCGGGGTTGCATCATCCTATGGTGGACAGTCAAGACAGCCAAAGATTTGGCACCTGGAAGAATCCAGGGGGATGATACCACAGGAGAGGGAGCTTGAAGTAATGGGATTGTTGGAACAGAGGTAAGTATATGTGGACTTTAGTTCCACTTTAAGTTCACCTTTCTCGTGTAAATCTAAAAAAGTAAAAAAAATAATAAAATCTTTTGTTCCTCTTAGTGGCATGTTCACATGCTTCAGTTACTCAGATTCTGTGCGTGTGATCCTCTTTAGAGTAGAGCTCAACTCAAATCAAATATGTTTTTGTTTAATATAGACTATAGATTAATAAAATCTGTGAGTGTGTGACACAAGCAGAGGTTCTAACCGTTACTCAATTTATCTAAAGCTAAAATATTGTGGCTGAAGTTCTAACTGATTTGAAAAAAATGAATCGCATTGTCAAAGTAGACCCTCACACAACGTCATTTGTAAATCTAAAGGAACGTACACTTGGATTGTAACGTGTGTTTGGCCAGTTTAAGGCCCTTGAACCCCTCGTGTTTTGTTACTATATTGCCTCATGTTCTGTCCCCCACTATAATGTACAGCGCTGAGCAAACCTTTTAGCGCTATATAAATAAATACTGTATTATAATAATAATAGTTCACACTAGCTTTGAAAGCAGGCATTTGAGGGGTGTTTTTAAGGCTCCTCAAACGCCTATGGAAATGATACTATGGGCAGCACACAGTGCTGTTCACATTATCAAAACATGAAGCGTTAATGTCGCTTCAAAATTGAAGCCTCATGTCCAGTTAGGAGGAGTTGAAGCCTTTCAACGCCTCCCATTCAAGTCTATGGTGACTCTTCTCAAACGACCTGGCAGATGTTTGTGGGATGTTAATATCATTAGAGTTTATTCTAGGGGTTTGTGGTGCGGTTTTAATGCTTGTAAAACGCCTCAAAACCACGCATAAGGCATTTGGGGAGCATTTTTAACGCTTGTAAAACACCCATACTAAAGCTCATTAGCACCTGTCTAACGCCCATACTAAGGTTATAGGGGCATTTTTGAAGTGTTAAGAAATTAGTCAAATGTGAACAAGCCCTAACACTCTGGCTAGGCACTGTTTTTATGTTTTTGAATAACTTTACTAATCTGCAGTACAGAAGTAAGCAAGGATCGCCTAAGTAATGTTATAAAGATTTTGCTATAGATAATGTACAACACTGAGAAATAATGCATTTAATAAAATAGTGATGTTTGAAAAATTAGGACCACAAAATACGCTGTAATGCATATCATTCTGACATGAAGCTTATAGGAATGTGCTCTAACATTGTATAGTTTTTGCTTTTACGTTTTATTGGAAATCATTTTCAGTTAGCCATGTAAATAATTGCCTCTATTGGTATTCTTCTTTACTTTTTAGAGTTCAAATGACACCTTTCCTACAGCAATGCATATTGCTGCTGCAAAAGAAGTCCATGATATCCTTTTACCTGGATTGAAAAAGCTCCAGAATGCTTTGGATGCAAAATCAAAGGAATTTGCGAAAATTATTAAAATTGGCCGTACACATACACAAGATGCAGTGCCACTTACTCTGGGACAGGTACAGTATCAACGCATACCTAGAGTGTCTAAACCCAAAGCCAAAAATGTAGTATATTGCAGCTTACCAGTCCTTAGATGTGGTGGCTGTAATATTTTCCCTTTTTTCTGGCTTTTTCCTTTATCCTAGTAATCTTGTGAATAGCACATTTCCTGTCTCTGGGTGGCCATGCTCACTCTTACACTGTATGTTTGGAGAGTGCCATAATTCAAAACCAGGCTAAACCTCAAACATGTCATCCTTTGTTCATCTCCATTATATAGAGCAGGGGTCTCCAAACTTTCTAACCAAAGGGCCACTTTACTGTCCTTCAGACTTTAGGGGGGCTAGACTGTGGCCAGTGGGAGTAGGCAATTGGTAGTCTGTGGGAGCAAAAAAACTACATAGCGCCTACCAGTAGGAGGAGGAATAGTGTTCTATCATTGGTATTAGTGGGAGAGATCATGCCCCATCATTGGTATTCGTGGGAAGAATAGTGCCCCATCATTAATATTCGTGAGAAGAATAGTGCCCCATCATTGGTATTCGTGGGAAGAATAGTGCCCCATCATTGGTATTCGTGGGAAGAATAGTGCCCCATCATTGGTATTCGTGGGAAGAATAGTGCCCCATCATTGGTATTCGTGAGAAGAATAGTGCCCCATCATTGGTATTCGTGGGAAGAATAGTGCCCCATCATTGGTATTCGTGAGAAGAATAGTGCCCCATCATTGGTATTCGTGGGAGGAATAGTGCCCCATCATTGGTATTATTAATGGGGAGGAATAGTGCCCCATCATTGGTATTCGTGGGAAGAATAGTGCCCCATCATTGGTAGTAGTGGGAGGGAAATAGTGCACCGTCATTGGTATTAATGGGAGGAATAGTGCTCCGTCATTGGTATTAATGGGAGGAATAGTGCGTCCGTCATTGGTATTAATGGGGAGGAATAGTACTCCCATCGTCATTGGTATTAATGGGGAGAAATAGTGCCCATCATTGATATTAAGTGGGAGGAATAGTGCTCCCATCATTGGTATCAGTGGGAGGAATAGTTCTCCATCATTGGTATTAGTGGGAGGGATAGTGTCCCATCATTGGTATTAGTGGGAGGGATAGTGCCCCATCATTGGTATTAGTGGGAGGGATAGTGCCCCATCATTGGTATTAGTGGAAGGGATAGTGCCCCATCATTGGTATTAGTGGGAGGGATAGTGCACCATCATTGGGGAGGAATAGTGCTCCGTCATTGATATTAATGGGAGGAATAGTGCACCGTCATTGATATTAATGGGAGGAATAGTGCTCTATCATTGGTAATAATGGGAAGAATAGTGCTCCATCATTGGTATTAGTGGGAAAAAATAGTGCCCCATCATTGGTATTAGTGGGAGGAATAGTGTTCCATTATTGGTATTAGTGGGAGGGATAATGCACCATCATTGGTATTAATGGGGAGGAATAGTGCATCGTCATTGATATTAATAGGAGGAATAGTGCTCCATCATTGGTAATAATGGGAAGAATAGTGCTCCATTAATGGGAGGAATTTTGCACCATCATTGATATTAACCACTTGCCTACCAGGCACTTATACCACCTTCCTGCCCAGGCCAATTTTCAGCTTTCAGCGCTGTCGTACTTTGAATGACAATTGCGTGGTCATGCGACCCTGTACCCATACGAAATTTTTATACTTTTTTTTTTTACACAAATAGATCTTTCTTTTGGTGGTATGTACTCATCGCTGAGTGTTTTATTTTTTGTGCTATAAACAAAAGAGCAAAAATTTTGAATAAAAAATGTTTTTTATTAGTTTCTATTATAAAATTTTGCAAACGGGTAATTTTTCTCCTTCACTGATGTGAGTTGATGAGGCAGCACTGATAGGCGGCACTGATGAGGTGGCACTGATATGCAACAATGATGGGCACTGATAGGCAGCACTGATGGGTGGCACTGACTGGCGGCACTGCTGGGCACTGACTGGCGGCACTGCTGGGCACTGACTGGCGGCACTGCTGGGGAATAGTGCACCATCATTGTTATCAGTGGGAGAGAGAGTGCCCCATCATTGGTATTAATAGAAGGAATAGTGCCCCATCATTGCTATTAATGGAAGGAATTGTGCCCCATTGTTGATATTAATAGGAGGAATAGTGTATCATCGTTGGTATTAGTGGGATGAATAGTGCCCCATCATTGGTATTAGTGGAAGGGATAGTGCCTCATCATTGGTATTAGTGGAAGGGATAGTGCCCCATCATTGGTATTAGTGGAAGGGATAGTGCCCCATCATTGGTATTAGTGGAAGGGATAGTGCCTCATCATTGGTATTAGTGGAAGGGATAGTGCCTCATCATTGGTATTAATGGGAGGAATATTGCACCATCATTAGTATTAATGGGAGGAATAGTGCTCCATCATTGATATAAGTTGGCGGAATAGTGCCTCCTCATTGGTATTAGTGGGAGAAAATAGTGCCTCCTCATTGGTATTAGTGGAAGAAATAGTGCCTCCTCATTGGTATTAATGGGAAGAATGGTGCTCCATCATTTGGTATTAGTGTGAGGAATATTGCTCCATCGTTGGTATTAATGTGAGGAATAGTGTCCCATCATTGGTATTAATGGGAGAAATAGTGCTCCATCATTGGTATTAATGGGAGGAATAGTGATCCATCATTGGTATTAGTGGGAGGAATAGTGATCCATTTTTATTCGTGTGAAGAATAGCACCTCATCATTGGTGTCACTGTGAGGAATAGTGCCCTCTACTGTTGGTATTAGTGGAAAGAATGGTGCCTCATTAATGATACCAGTAGCAGGAATAGTGCATCATATCAGTGGGAGGAACAGTGCCCCTAGGGCTGGATAAAAGTTTGTGAAGGGTCACATTCATCCCAGAGGTGCAGATTGGAGACCACTGATATAAAGGATGGAGAAATTAGTAGCTTATAGATGGAAGATAAGATTGCTTGTGCTTTCAGTTCAGTTCATGAGCTGAGCTTGTGCACGGCTGTCAAATTTTGACATGCGACTGTGTGCAGCCATTGCATCTGCATCAACTTCTATTGACTTCCTGCACATAGAAGCATGCAGTACAGGCGTGCAAGCACCTATCTGAACAAGGCCTAAATAAAGCGAGTCCTTGCATTCTGAGACCTCACTGTCAGCGAGACATCTACCTGTCTGTAGATGGCCTAAAGGAGGTTCTCCTTCATATTGCCCAATTGAAACTGATGCCTCTGTTAGAGTTGAATGCACGCACACTCCCCTGAAGAAGTCTGAGGTCAACTCTCACTTCACTGGTGGCTTCACTTCTATACATATTGCCTAAAGTTTAAAAATAAAGAAAAAAAGGCCTTGTATATGAAGTGTCATACTGAAGTCTGTTTCCCTGCTTACCATGGCCTTGCTTACTTTGTTCTTTCATGTCTTAGCAACAGAAAAAATGTAAAGCTGCTAGGAGGGCAACACAAAGTTCTACAGTTCAGCCCTTTTATGCATAAGGACTTTAGAGAACTTAAAAAGCCATTCTACACTGCTCACTGATGCTCAGGATTTTTTTTTTTTGTCTGGCGCTTTGTTTGAAATATCTGTGGTTGCTGTAATTAGAGATTGGTTGCCAAACCTTTTAGGCGGGAAACATTAACTGTCCACAATATATAATATATGTACTTCTAAACAGAATATACTTCTACTTTTTGTTTTCTAGGAGTTTAGTGCCTACGTACAGCAGATTAAGTATGGCATTACTAGAATTGAAAGTGCATTACCAAGGGTTTACGAATTAGCTGCTGGAGGCACAGCAGTTGGAACTGGGTTAAACACTAGAATTGGATTTGCAGAGAAAGTTGCTGCCAAAGTCTCGGAGCTTACAGGTAAGATGCCATAAGTGTGTTCCAGGAAAGATACGCTTTTTAAAGAAAGAGCAATTTGTATAAAGTGACTTATTCTGTTGTAATTTGCCTTTCTAAGCCCCATGCAGACCTCGCATACATGCATGCCTGCAATTTGAACTGCAGCCTCTCCTGAGCTTTGGATTAGTATAAAACCTTTCGTGTCACCGCTGGCTGCAGTTATGTTTTTTGCAAAGAAGAAAACCATCTGTTCATCCACAACATATAACATTTAAGTTGAAATATTTTCTGGTTATTATTAAAGTGGTAGTAAATGGTAAACAACAGCTAAAGGAAGTTTTCTCCTGCAAGGCAAAGGCATAACGTGCTAGTATACATTGCACACTTGCAGATTATGAAGGACTTCTCTTAAAACAAATCTCTCCAGCAGTGCGCCGTCACTTCTGCAGAGGCTTCCATCTTTACTGTCTTCCCTCTGGGTCGTGGCTGCTTGATTGGCCAAGCCGTGATGACGTCACTCCCATGCTCCACACGAGAGTTTTCGGCTGTGGCACACAGCTCTGAAGGAACAGCATGGGTATGCAGCTTCTTCAGAGCGCATGTGCCGGTGATGTCACTGGCTGCAGCTCATTAAAATATCTCCTAAATGGTGTCACGTTTAGGAGATATTGATTTTATCTACAGGTAAGCTTTATTTATAATACCTGTAGGTAAAAATAATAAATAGGAGTTTACTACCACTTTAACATATGGGATTAGTTGTGTTTTGAAATTCCAATCTAATTTTTTATCATTGCAGAGCAGCTTTAGATAGATCAGCGGGTTCATTTGATTTCCAAGGGCACTAGACAGTGGTGAGCTTTTGATTTCCTTATGAATGTACTTCGGACACTACAGTGAGCTACCAGGTTACTTAACCACTTCACAACCACATTATAGCCGAATGACAGCTACAGTTCTGTTGTTCAGTTCTGGGAGGGCGTCATATGACATCCTCCCAGAACACGCCCTTCAGTGCACCTTCAGCGGCGTGCACCCAGCGCTCTCCATGATCGCAGTGTCCTATGGACACAGTTGATCATATGATGAGGTAAAAGGCCAATCACAGCAGCCTTTTACCACTTGATCAACTGTGTCCAATGACACAGCAGATCACTGAGTAACTACAGTTGCCGTTTACTGGCAGCACTTTCCTCATGCTGTCACAGCGTGAGGAAAGTACTGCCGATAACCAGCAAATGTCACAGAACAGATCAGCACTGATGATCAGTGCCCTGATGCTCAGTGCCACCCAGCAGTTGCGACCATCAGTGCCCAGCAGTACCACCAGTCAGTGTCGCCCAGCAGTACATCATCATAGTGCCACCTCATCAGTGCAGTCTATCAGTGCCCATCAGTGCTGCCTATCCGTGCCACCTCATCAGTGCCCATCAGTGCTACCTATCAGTGCAGCCTCATCAACACACATCAGTGAAGGAGAAAAATTACCTGTTTGAAAAATGTTATAATAGAAACAAAGAAAAACTTCTTATTTTTTATTTTTTCAAATGTTGTTTTGCTTTTTTTGTTTATAGTGCAAAAAAATAAAACACCTAGTGGCGATTAAATACCACCAAAAGAAATCTCTGTGTGTGAAATAAATTATAAAACATTTCATATGGGTACAATGTTGCATGACTGCACAATTGTAATTCCAAATGTGAGAGCGCTGAAAGCTGAAAATTGGCCTGGGCAGGAAGGGGGTATGAGTACCTTGTAGGCAAGGGGTTAATGTTTGTTGCTTAGCTGAAAATATTTGATATTCCTGCATTGAATGCCTGAAAAACATTCAGCAAAGAGCATTCAAATTGTTTGTGTTTTTGGAAATTATTCCATTAAATGAAATTACTAGATAGAACTTTTTTACAGTTCAAATTTCTGTTGGTTTGGTGGGTTTGTGTCTGTGTTCTCTATCTGTATAATGGAAGCATGTGTGTTTTTTTGTTTTTTTTTTTTTTTTTTTTTAATGTGTAAATTCGGAATTCCCTTTTTTTAATAGGATTACCATTTATCACTGCTCCTAACAAGTTTGAAGCTCTTGCTGCACATGACGCATTAGTTGAATTGAGTGGAGCCCTAAACACTGTTGCCTGTAGCCTAATGAAAATAGCCAACGATATTCGTTTTCTTGGGTCTGGACCAAGATCAGGTCTGGGAGAGTTAATCTTGCCAGAAAATGAACCTGGAAGCAGCATTATGCCAGGTAAAAGGTTTTGCTTATTCCCTAAAGTGTTGCACTAGTGGTGTTTCATAGCTTAAAAATGTCTGCAGCATTGTGTCACTCCCCATCATAAACGTTTACAACACCTATTTAAGGAACATTTACCTGTACTGTATTTCTATACCAAATGTCTTTGCTTAGTAATTAGCAAAGGAAAATCAGTCAATTTCCACTTAGAAGCGCCATTGCTGATGTCTGGTTCTGTTATACTCTGTTAATGCAAGGACAAGCATGACTGACACTAGTATGTGCAGGTCAAGTGTCCCTACACCTGATAGGCCCCTTTTGCTCCAGATCGGTGGTTCACCAAGTTATAAACGAAGGATAATGACGACAATGGTGTCCTTTTATGAAACTGAGATCAGCGGCGATCCTGAGGATCGTTGCTGATCTCAAATTATTAGTGGTTTAGGAAACAGAAATGATCATGTTCTTCGCTGATCATCTCAGCACACAGACAGCCAGTGTATGAAGGAGCGATGTCAACCCTTCACTGGCGATCTGTGCGAAAATTCTCCCTCCAGACTCTCCAGCCCAGAGGTGGAAAATGGGGGGAACCGCAAACAAAGCAGCGATAATTTACCGCTGCTTAGTAAACTGTGTTTGACTGATCTCTTGCTGTAATCTCGCAAGATTACAGTAACAACAGCCGTTTTCTAGTATTCAAAGCGCTTGTAGATCGCTTCTCTCCTCATTAGGAGAAGCGATCTACACCGCTTCATAAAAAGGCATTCAGAGGAGAACTGTCTCCTCTGAGAATGCCAGGGAACTGAGCAGCAGTCATTTACCGCTGCATGATAAAAGGACACCATTATTGAAGCATGCACTTTTAAAAACAAATTCGCAATGGCGGTTTCCTATTTTTTTTTTTTCTGACAGCCTACTTATTAACAGAAATCTTTCTTTTTTAACTGATTGATGATAGGTCTTACAGTTCTGAATTGGCATATGTAGATTCTTTAACAGAGAGCATTCTCTTTTTGTATTTTATTTTTATCTTCTGATCAATTCCATTCTACTTGTCATAGTCATGTGATTACAACCAAGAACTGTTTATCATTTCTGCATTATTTTTTTTTTTTTTTGTAAGATTTTTACTAAAACTCTTTTTTTGTTTCTGTTTTTACATTATTTCTACACAGGCAAAGTGAATCCCACTCAGTGTGAAGCTGTTACAATGGTAGCAGCCCAGGTGATGGGCAATCATGTTTCTATATCAATAGGGGCCAGTAATGGACATTTTGAACTGAATGTATTCAAGCCTCTGATTGTAAGTAATCTGAATCTTATAACCCGTAGCATGCAATTTAGCCTGCTGAAAACATAAACTGAAGTGAATCTGTGGATCAAAAACATATCAGTTGGCAATTATCACAGAAAGAAGGCACATCTAGGTGTCACCATATTCCAGAGCATATAGATGTGCTCTGGTGCCACAAAACCAAGACCACTCTAAAATGCAACCAAACACTTGCTTCAGTGATAAATTGCAACTTTTTTTTTCAGTTTTGGTCATGCAATCTGCTTCTCCTGTTTGTACATCTACAAAAACATCCTTTTTTTAATGTATGAAAAAAGAACTGTTGCAGTAATCGTTATGGGAAGAGGGGGGAGAAGAGGGAAATATCTGCCCTCCTTCAAGATGACTGCTATAGATAGCAGGCAGTTGGTAGAAAACTGTGAAGGAGGATTTCCCATAAATTCCCACACATTTTAAGCCTCATTCTTTTCTGTGGAACTCAATGGAATGCATGTTGACGTGTTGTGAAGCACTTTAATATGACATGTTTTCATGCATTTCCATTGGTTTTAAATGTGTGTTAAAACAAACAAGTGTAAATGCATCCTTTATAATGATACTGGGTATGCAGTGGTTTGAAGTACAACTAAAGGCAAAACTTTTTTTTTTTGAATAAGGTAGAGAGGGATTAGAACACCTGTAAGGTTTTTATTGCTCTTTGAGTCCTTAGTAGGGAGATTCAGCCTTTCTACTTGTTCTGAAGACCATTATTACCAAGTGTGAAAATAAATCCCAAATTTTGGGTTGTCCCGCAGAACAGTAATGGATTACGTCTCACTTCTTTTAGCTGTGGGACAGGAAGTGAAGAGAAATTTGGACACAGATGGCAAAAAACCTGACAGGATATAACCCTCCCTTTATCCAAATCGGTGAAAAAAAGTTTTGCCGTTTAGTTCTATGTAAAAAAAAAAAAACACACAGAAAATCTACTTTGTGCTTTCTCTCAGTATGGTGTTTTAGACACTGGCCCATGCTTGATTTATGGTAAATATTACACTGAAATTGGTTAGAGTCTCCTCATACGGCGACACTGCTATTGGATTCATTGTGTGATGCATTTTTAGGTATTTATACTATATATATTGCTTTAGTATAGTATATCCACTAACATAGATAGGACCATTCTCCAAGAAAGAAGTCCTGTGTATTATGACTATAGGAGTTGTGCTGTACTTATTAAGGCCCCTTTACCATGGAGCAGACTGCGACTGTGATCTGCTTCCTTGGCAGGGGATCTGTCTGTTGATCCCTGCTGAGCAGGCGGATGACAGGTCCGTGTCTGCTCCTCTTATACAGAGCAGACATGGATACAGCCCACTCTCCTTTTTAGGTGGTCGGATGTAAACAGACTGCCTGTCCAATTTCACCTGACTGCCATCCTGTCCGCTGGATGGAAGGGGAACTGATCCCCATCCATCACTTTTTGAATGTAGGTAGGTGTAAACTGCCGCTCCATAAAGGAGAATAGAGATTCTGATCATGTCCGCCTGAAAAATGGACAAGCAAACCCAATTGGAATGTCCGTGTGAAAGGGGCCTAACTCAGTTATTTAAATACTTAATTGCTTTCCCAATCTGTCATTTATTATGGAGTTGTAGATGTTACATAAATAATAGCCCTTTTGGTCAGATACTTCCATAACTCAACCTGAATATACAACCTTAACTTGGACAATGTATATTCTGCATGTTATTGTTCCCCTGCTGCTACCTACTTTGGACTCCTCTATTATGAAGTATGTTGGAACCTGGAATACGTCTTGGCTCCTGAATGCTCACTTAAATCCAACACACCTTATATTATAATGTGGGTTAGACAAGTTGACTTTATTAAGTGTTCTTGCATGGCAAGACCACTTACTGTTATCTCACATATATATTCTTATTATTATAGCCAAATTTACCACCCTAACTCCTCCCACAGTTTTTACACTACATAAACCGTAATATACCGAAACGTGCGGATTGTTCCCGATTGATGTGCTATTACTTTGTGGAACGTTTCGCCAAATGGTTCACGAAATATCGCCGTTTTTGTGGTGAAATTGGTCCCATAGGAATGAATGGCGGAATGTTCAAAACTAGAGTGGGAGCTGACAAAAGCTAGAATGTGAGCTGAAAAATCAGGACATGATTTCTAAACTGCCATCACTCCCTCATTTTCAAGCCCACCTACACAAATCTTATATCAAAATGTTCAGCTATCCCTGCTGCCACTAAAAATGTCCACGGCTAAGCCATTGTCCTGATCGTTTTCACAATATGACCATTTGTTTGCAACTCATGCCGCCCATTGACATTCATTGAAAATCCACTCTAGCCACCTCAAATTTGAAGGGCAATTTCTAAACTGCGACTGTGCCTTCATTTTTAATATTTCAGAGACATACTATGCATCAAAAAGTAGGTCTTGTGATTCTCACAATATAAAGCTCTTTGGTGTAGGATTTATAATTTTTAAGCTACAACCGTTTGAAGATGGCAACCGCCAGTGAAGTGAGCAAGTTGGAGCAGTTTGTTTTTAATGGCTCTTCTCTGCCCTTGCTGTAGAGTGAGTTGCCATAGGAACTCAGGTGTGTGAGCAGGCAGCAGAGTGACAAAGTTAGAGTGTGAGTTGTAGACTACTGGTGGAGGCAAGAACATTTCACACAATTTCCCCAGAAATTGTAGCTTTTCTAGTTGTGTTTATAATTTTTTTTTACTGATTGTGTAGTCATTTGTTTATACAACTTTTTGCTGTAATATACAGTAATTATATAATTTAATAGAATAATAAAGAGAAATGGAAAAAAGTGCAACGATGAAACTCCTGCTTGTTGTATTATTATTTTTTATCATGTATGTGTTTTTTCTTTTCAGATAAAAAAATATTCTAAATTCAATCAGGCTTATAGGGGATGCATCTGTCTCATTCACTGATAATTGTGTTGTTGGGATTCAAGCAAATACTGAGAGAATCAACAAACTGATGAGTGAATCTTTGATGCTTGTCACTGCTCTCAATCCCCATATAGGTAAGACATATACATAGAAAGTAGAGTTGGGAAAAATACCATCAACCTGTAGTAAACTACTCTGGTTTAATACTGTTGATTTAGAAGAAGGCCTAGCTTACACATAGGTGGGGGGGTTGGGTAAAAACAGGCAGTTGTGTCAAGTCTATACTGTCCGCCCCCAAACTGCAATGGCAGCCATATGGGGGTATACACATGGTGCAACTACAGTGCTTTGCATTGGAGCACCTCAAAAATGATCTCCCCTATCATGACCCATTCAAGCGAATGGGGCTGTATCTGGGCTTTTTAGAGGTTAAAACAGGCAATAAGCAGATGACGTTATGCTTCCTCATCGCTTGTCAAATGCCCTACAAAAAGTAATCCACTGTGAACCGTTCTTCAGTGCTAGTGTAAACAAAGCCCATCCAAACTCCTTCTGATGGAATTTTTCAGTTCCCTAAATATTCGTGTTTATAATAGCAGGAAATTCGTAAACCCTCCAGTCTACTCCTAAATCCCTTCTTTGGTGTCTTCACACCTCCAGTGATGTTCTTGGACAATTAACATTGAGCCTGGGTTCACACTTGTGCAGTGTGGGATATCGCATGTGATTCGCACAGAAACCGCACCGAATTCTTGTGCAAATTGCATGCGAATGGTGCAATTTGAGCCATATATTTTGTGTGGCTCAAATCAAAACTGCATCCGCACCAAAGAGGTGTAGGACCCTTTTTTTTTGGTCCTCACTAGAATCAAGTCGCATGGGTATTCACACCTATGCGATCCATTTCTGCACATCGCACCGTGTTTTGCGGACCAATTTCGGGGTGTTGTTAACATACACACCCGCAGCGGTTTGCATGAACGGGGTGCGATTGTGATGCGGTGCGGAGTTTGCACAGAAACTGCTGCGAATTGTGCACCACATCAGCATGAACCCAGAGAGCCTAATGGAGCTGCAAGGGAGGGAAGGAAAATTGAATATGTGATCCTGGCTAGCGAGTATTAAAGTGGACTTGTTGCTTTTATCCCGCATGAGCAAAGCACAGGTTTGCTTTCACTATTGTACATTGTTTTTTACTATTTGTGTAAAGCTTATCAGTTTCAAGGATAATATTTTGCCGTCTTGTGTTTGTGTGTTTTATTGTTCAGAAACATTCTCATACTAATAGCAAGCTTTTTTGTTGTAGGATATGATAAAGCTGCTAAAATTGCAAAAACCGCACACAAGAATGGTGGCACATTAAAGGAAACTGCAATACAGCTTGGAATCCTGACTGCAGAGCAGTTTGATCAGTGGGTCAAGCCTGAAGACATGCTTGGTCCAAAATAATTCATGAACTGTAAATTTCAGAGCTCCAAATATTTTTGTCACTGTCATTAAAATAAAAGTTTGTTAAAAGTGATGGTTCAAATGGAATATATTGAGTTATCGTTCATCAAACTAAGGCAGAGTCTCTATAAATGCAGCGATTTACAACTATTGCATATTAAAACTGTCTGTGCAGCTTTGTTGCATGATGGCTATTTTCTACCAATTAACCCCCTGTAATGTAAATTACCCATCTCTTACCTCTTGGCTTCCTATGGCTTACAACATGCAGTAGCGGTCAAGTGAGCTGTGGAGCAGCAGTAGCATTTGGAGGAGCATATTATAAAAGTGCAGAATATTCTTGGCCACAATACTTTATTACTGTACAAAGTATATAGCAGCGAGCCATTGGAGGACAGCAGTGCATAGCACATCTACAGGGGTTTCTTTCTTGTCCATTGAAAGTCACGGAATGTGTTAAAGTGGTAGTAAAGTGACTCTAACTATTCTTAAAAAGTTTCTCTCCCCCCTCCTCCTGCTTGACCCGCATACCCTGTATAAAAAAAGATCTGTGTACTTACCTTTTTTTTTTTTTTTTTTTTTTTTAATGTGGTCTGTTCACATGATATAGCAGCTCTGGCTTCACTGTGTAAAGGAGCACTCAACAACTGCTGTGAACTCCCGGAACCGTGACGTCAGCCATAGGATCCCATAGTCCAGCCCTTGTCTGTGCACCCTCCTCTCCCTTGCAGCTGCTGCTCGCTGACACAGGGGAGCTAAAGCTGCTGGATTATGTGACCAGACTGGATTATTGTAGCTAAATAGCTTTTTTGATGACCGGATAGGTAGGAGGAGGTGAGAGGGAAAATTTTTCAGAATAGAGTTAAACCTTCAGATTACACACACACCTCAGTTTTTTTTTTCTAGTGTCCTAAAAGTATGGCCATCTTTTCTTCAGTTCTGCTTTTGTAAAACCTAACCTCTGAAGAATCACAATTTTCTAGCAATTTTTTTCTTCACTTTTTATTTTATTTAAAAAAAACAAAAAAAAAACAGTACAATTCTAGAACAGATTATAAATCCAAACAGAAATCAATGGTTTTGCATCCAGCTTCAAAATTAATCATTGATACAGGCCAAGCACAGCACAGCAAGATCAATAGGCCGACTGTAATGTAAACAAACAGCACAGCAAAGAAAGGAGAGCATGTGATCTAAGCAGTATCTCCAACCAACTGACCACCTGACCAGAGGCATGTATCGGCCAACGAGGTGTCTACCCATAACTAGGTTTGTTGGGTTAGGCCTGGGGAATCCAGCCATGGACCCCAAAGATTCTTTGTAGTGGAAACCTGTTGGTATATACTGTATACTTCTCCAAGAGTCTCCCCCATGCACTGTACCCACTCTTTGTGAGAGGAAGGATCTGAAGATTTTCAATGCTGTAAGAGAACTCTCTGGGCCTGGAAAAGGACTCTAGCCACAGCCTTACTAGTGGGAGTTGACAGTTGAAGGTCATCTAAATTGCCCAGTGGGCAAGGTTTAGGGAGGAGTGGGATAGATGTTTGGAAAACTACATTCACCACTTCCTCCCAATTATATGTGTAATTTGGGGCATTGCCACAATAGATGAATTAGGTCCCAGTGGTCCCGGCAACATTTACTGCAAGTAGGGCTGTCCAAGAGGCCCATTTTGTGCAGCCTGACTGGAGTATAATGAACACGTAAAGTGGTAGTAAACTCTCATTTTTTATTTTTACCTACAAGTAAGCTTATACTAAAGCTTACCTGTAGGTAAAATTAATATCTCCTAAATGTACACCGTTTAGGAGATATTCTAGCGAGCACCAGCTGATGACATCACTGGCACATGCGCTCTTAAGTAACGGCATACCCATACCATTCCTTCAGAGCTGTGTGCCGCAGCCGAGATGTGTGGGAGTGACGTCATCGCAGCTCAGTCAATCAAGTGGCCACAGCCCACCAACCAGGAAGGAAGACTGGGTGAAGATGGAAGCCTTTGCAGTGGTGACAGTGCACCTTTGCCTTGCAGGGAAAACATTTTTTAATTTTTTTTTGTTGTTTATTACCGCTTTAAAAGTATATATTATAGCAGCAGCCTTTGTGTCACATTTAGAGAGCATTGTGGCACTTCCTAAAGTACTTCCTCCCACTGGTCCTCCACAAAAGTGCCAAGGTCCACCTCCCACTGTCGTTCCATCGTCAGAGGAAATGATTTCAGATATTCTGTATGCCACATGTAATAGCAGGCAAAGAAATCTTTGATGGAGATGGTATTAGATATCATATTAAACATTGGTGTTGGGGATTGGCTCCACACCATGGACACCCCTTGTGTTGCCACAGCATGCTTGAGTTGAACACAATAAAAACACATAGACATTGATAAGGAGAACCTGTTCTGCGACCCCCTCAAAGGAACACAGCGAGCTATTTCTGAAAATATGCTTAATGTGAGTGATGCCCAATCTGCAACAACCGCGAGGCTTGTATCTTCGCCAACTCCAGATAGTTATCATTATGGCAGACAAGACTAGTGTACATTGCACGAAACCAGTAACTTGTCTGAACTGTAGAAGGGAATGGTTGGGCAGAAGCCTATTGGATTTGCAGCCTCAGGGCCAGTTGCTAAATCCGTTACATGAGTTGTATAGCGTAAAATGTGTATAGAGGGGTTGCCTCCTGGTAAGGAGTATGGTATCCCTTTGCAAAGGTAGTAGAGCCAAGGGTTGGGCATAGCAAGACCCCTTGTGTCCTTTGGGCAGATATTCCAACCTCACCCGTGGGACCTTATGCTACAGCCTAAAGATGGAATTAACATAGGGGTAATGTGCAAGAGGTAAAGCAATTGGGGCATGAAGATCATTTTGATGAGATTAACCTTACCGGCTAGGGATAACCATAGCCTATTCCAAATTTTAACCTCTCTTAAAAGGTTCAAAAGGGGAGTTATATTCGAGAAGTCCACAGGTTGAGGAGTAACCTGCACACCCAGGTACTTAAAAGAGGAGGTTACAGGAACCGGGTAGCAGTGGGCAATAGGCTGAGTGGGATTGTCATCCATGAGCATCAGACCATCACCCAGTTGATAAGCCCTGAGAATTTCCCAAATAGCAGTGGTACTCATGGCTGCCTCCAGGGAAGTAGTTGTGTCCTCTAGTAGCAGGGTGTCATCTGCATAAAGCATGACCTTTTTGTGTAACTATCCATAAGGAGCAGGGCCTCCTAACCCTCTTGTATTGAACTGTATTGTTGCTGTATTGTCTCCCGTTATATTGTAAAGCGCTGAGCAAACTGTTGGCGCTATATAAATCCTGTATAATAATAATACTGGAAACCAACTATAGCAGGGTTCTGCCACATTGAAGCAGCCAAGAGCTAGATTGCCAGTGCAAACAGTAGAGGGGACAGTGGGCAACCCTGTCAGGGCTGCCCCTGCCCAAAGAGAATGTAGAAGAAAGCTCCAAGCTTCACTAATAGCTGCTAATAGGTGATCATATGACAACTTAAAGTGACTATAAAGGCTTCTTTTGTTTTAAAGAAAAAATAACAAACATGTCTATACTTACCTGCTGTGTGCAGTGGTTATGCACAGAGCAGCTAAGATCCTCCTTTTCTCGGGTCCCCCACCGATGCTCCTGGCTCCTTCCTCCCATCAGGTGCCCCCACAGCAAGCAGCTTGCTATGGGGGAACCCGCTGCTCCATTTGTCCATTCACACACACAGCCGTGGCTCAGCCCCACCCCCTCTCTCACTGGCTGTGATTGACAGTAGTGCGAGCCAATGGCTTCCACTTCTGGCTCAGCCAATGAGAACAGGGAGTCTGGGGATAGCCAAGATTCCAGTGCACATCGCTGGATCGAGAGGGGCTTAGGTGAGTATTAGGGGAGGCTAGGGGTGATGCTGCATAGAGGTTTTTTACCTTCATGCATAGAATGCATGAAGGTAAAAAACCTGGAGCCTTTAGACCCACTTTAACCCAGATCTTGAAGACAAGACCAAAGCATATTAGAAAGGACAGCCCATAGGTATGTCCAATCCACGCTGGCCTTGGCTTCATCCAGCGACAGCAAGTCCCTTCTCCCCCATGTTATCTGCCCTAGCCTGGATATTTAGCAATCACTTTCAAAATCATGTTAAATAGGAGTCAGTACACATCTGCCATTATTTAAAGTGCCTCTGATTAACCCCAAATAAAGTTCAGCTGTTCTAGTAGGTCTTTCCTGACATTTTCCTAGTCGCATCCTACAGCAAAAGCCATGGTCCGCAGAGAGCTTCCAAAGTATCAGAGGGATCTCATGTTAAAAAGTATCAGTCAGGAGAAGGGTACAAAAGAATTTCCAAAGCATTAGATATACAATGGAACACAGTGAAGACAGTCATCAAGTGGAAAAAACATGGTGCAACAGTGGCATTACCAAGAACTGGACGTCCCTCCAAAATTGATGAAAAGATGAGAAGAAAACTGGTCTGCGAGGCTGTCAAGAGGCCTACAGCAACATCAAAGGAGCTGCTGGAATATCTGGCAAGTACTGGCTGTGTGGTACATGTGACAATAATCTCCTGTATTCTGCATATGTTTGGGCTATGGGGTGGAATGGCAAGACAGAAGCCTTTTCTTACGAAGTAAAACATCTAAGCCCGGCTAAATTTTGCAAAAACACATCTGAAGTCTCCCAAAAGCATGTGGGAAAATGTGTTATGGTTGCTGAAACTAAGGTTGAACTTTGTGGCCATAATTCCAAAAGATATGTTTGGCGCAAAAACAACACTGCACATCACCAAAAGAACACCATACCCACAATAAAGCATAGTGGTGGCAGCATCATGCTTTAGGGATGTTTTTCTTCAGCTGGAACTGGGGCATTTGCCAAGGTAGAGGGAATTATGAACAGTTCCAGTGAGTTCCAAATACCAGTCAATACTGGCACAAAATCTTCAGGCTTGTGCTAGAAAGCTGTACATGAAGAGGAACTTAATCTTTCAGCATGACAACGACCCAAAGCATACATCCAAATCAACAAAGGAATGCATTCACTGGAAGAAGATTAAAGTTTTAGAATGGCCCAGCCAGAGCCCAGACCTGAATTCGATCGAAAATCTGTGGGATGATCTGAAGAGGGCTGTGCACAGGAGATGCCACAGTCTAACAGATTTGGAGTGTTTTTGCAAGGAAGAGTGGGCAAATATTGCCAAGTCAAGATGTGCCATGCTGATAGACTCATACCCAAAAAGACTGAGTGCTGTAATAAAATCAAAAGGTGCTTCAACAATGTATTGCTTTAAGGATATTTTTACTTCCTTCCACCTAAAAGATTTCAGTTTGTTGTTCAGCTGAGTTGTACAGTTTATAGGTTACATTAAAGGTGGAAAACGTTCTGAAATTATTTATATTTGTCTCATTTTTTACATCCCAGAAACCTGACATTTTAACAGGGGTGTGTAGACTTTTTATATCCACTGTATATTGTGAAGAGGAGCCAGGTCATCTAAGGACAAGATACAACATGCTTGGAGAGCAGCCTGAGAATTCCATTTCTCCTGTTGCCGTAATTATAAATGTGAGCTGCAGGCAGCCTACTATGCAATCCGTGTCATGTCTACTAAAGATACAATACATGCAGACTCAAGAAGAAAATAGAGTGAACCTGGATTGGTAAACCTCTTTTCATGCAGTAACAATGCCTGATGCTTGCAAATTCTTGTGATTGCTACCAATCTAAAGCGCAGCTAAATTTATGAACAAAAATGATTATAATATGGGATTTAAATAATGCCAACAGTTTTCCCAGCACTTTACAATATAAAGGGAGACAATACAGTTACAATACAATTCTAGTCAAGAGGGTTAGGTGGCCCTGCTCCTAAGAGCTTACAATCAAAAAGATAATAACTGTTGGGGATGATTTGATGTACAAAGTAAAAGTTCAGTTGTTAGGTAGACGTGTGATATGCTTCCCTGAAGAGAAGGGTTTTATGGATCGCCTAAGGGCCAGTTAACACCAGAAATCACACAGGAACGCACTGCATGGATCCATGTACTACTTTTGGAAATGCACTGCAACCAGATCAAATGATACTTGTGTACCATGTGATCTGGTGAGGGCAAATGCACTGCCTTTGTAACATGCATTTGGGGTGTTGTTAACTCACTATTGACACCTGCTGCAGATCGCAACTGCAGTGTGCTTTGAATGCGGAGTGAAAAATGTGCATGGAAAGTGGGTTTTCTGCACCGCATTCTGTGGTGTGAATGGGCCCTAAAGGCAGATGTTGCAGCTTATCAGTCTTTAGATGTGGTGGCTGCATTAGTTTTTCTTTTTGGGGGGAGGTAAGTACATTTTCTGCAAGTACACATATAAGCTGTATAAGGTAATAATCCATGCTTTCTGTTTAACTAAACAATTATTTTCTTATCACCTGGTTCACCCGGTGCGAATTGGCATGCCATTTGACAAATTCAGATTGCATGACAAGTCGCACCCTGGCCTGGTTGTTAAGGAGGTAAATCTTCCAGAGGTCAAGTGGTTAAAAAAAGGGTGCCCAATGCCATGTTTTGAAAAAAGTGTAAAATGAAATGAAAACGAGAAGCGCACCAACCTTGCGCATTACCTCAGTAACCAATCTAGCTCTGATGAAAAGGGACCCCCCTTTGAAACGCGTCAACTATACTGAACACCCATTCCCTTGATGGGACTCAAATCTTCAAGTCCCTGTGAGGACTTACATGCCTGATTTCATTCGCTGTTTGTGAGTATATTTTTTACAATTAATAAATTTTGGTTACTGAGGTAATGCGCAAGGTTGGTGCGCTTCTCAGGTTTTCATTTCATTCTGCAGTATTGATCGGGCTTCCAGCCTTGTTTTGTAGCTGCACAGCCCTTTATGCATTGGTGGACGATTTCTCCAGGCCTGGTTCCATCTATTCGCCACCTGTCTGAGTCCTAGAGCGCAGGAGAATTCGTCTTTGAAAAAAGTGTAAACAAGACCTTAGCAGGGTTGTGCTTGCCTGCTTGGGATACAGAAGTGTTTGTAGGGCTCTGCAATGGTATAACCTCCAGGAGAAAAGGATCTTGGGCATCAGTGGAGGGAAGGGAGACCAGATGACATGGGAGCACGCTGTGCACTGGAGAAGGTCGTCAAGAATGGAAGCAGCCAATAGAAGGAAGACACCCCAAAGTGCAGTATGCAGCTGTTTATTGAGTAGTAAATATTAAAAGCACTTACAAGATAGCAGTCAGATTAACCACTTGCCTACCGGGCACTTATACCCCCTTTCTGCCCAGGCCAATTTTGCTTTCAGCGCAGTCATACTTTGAATGACAATTGCAGTCATGCGACCCTGTACCCATATGACATTTTTATAATTTTTTTCAAACATAAAGAGCTTTCTTTTGGTGGTATTTACTTGCCGCTGTGTTTTTTTTTTGGCTATTTTGAAACAGCTAATTTTTCTCCATCACTGATGTGCGTTTTTACCACTGGAACTGATGATGAGCACTGACGGCTGTGCCACGTGATCAGCTGTGTTACATACCCTTGACGTCACGTGACGGGCACCTGATGGGTGGCACTGATGAGACAGGTGGGGCACTGTGGGCACCGATCATCAGTGCCCTGAAGATCGGTGCCGCTCCCTCCTCTGACAACTGTGACAGCGTGAGGAAAGTGCAGCCAATAACCAGCAATTGCTTTTCCCGCAGTGTGTCATCGGACACAGCTGATTACGTGGTAAAAGGCCCTGTGATTGGCTTTTTACCATACCACGTGATCAGCTGTGTTACATACCCTTGACGTCACGTCCTGATGGTCTGAGGAAGGAGTGTCTGGGCATGCTCTGAAACGCGTTACCACCCCCCTTGACGTCACGTGCAGTCTGAGGAAGGAGTGTCTGGGCATGCTCCGAAACGCGTTACCACCCCCTTGACATCATGTCCAGACAGTCTGAGGAAGGAGTGTCTGCGCATGTTCTGAAACGCGTTACCGGCTCCTTGACATCATGTGCGTTCCACACCTCTCCTGGAAGTACGGTGGCCATCTTGCCAGTGTGTTCCACCACACTCATTACCGCTGGCCGGCTCACTCTGTCTCAGTGGCATTATTTCTGATGAGCTTTTTCCTGACTGCTATCTTGTAAGTGCTTTTCACCTTTACTATTCAACAAACTGCTGCATACGGCACTTACAGGCGCCTTCCTTGCTATTTAGAGGTGCTCTGTACATCTCTGTGTAGGCAGTCCTCCCATTGATGTCAAATGGGAAGCATTGGCTGCACATTTCTTCCCCATTGGACTCCTACCAACCTGAAAAGAAAGCAAATTGTTACCTTCAGGGTGGAGGAATTACCACAACCTGCATCTGGTATATATATATATACACTTTAATAAAATTCTGCCAGCTTTCTTCATCCACACACAGCACAACTGCTGTTCTAGTGTCTCAGAAGACAACCTGCTGATCAGAACAGCAGCACTACACATGCGCAGTATGTACTCTAAGCGGCGGGGACGCGCTAGGGGCCAAGCACGCAGGCTGTCACTGCTTCTGTTTACTTCCTGTGTGCTCCACCCACTTCCTGGTTCTTCGCGGCATCACTTCCGGCTAGTGAATTGGAAGTGGTCTGTGAGCCATGGATGATGATGTGTTGCTGGCTATCCGCTTACAGGAGCAGTACGACCAGGAAGCGGAGGAGCAGGCATGGCGCCTCTCAGGAGACTGTTGGTGCTGTAGATCGGCCCAGAGATCTGTCCATAGTGGACCCGACCTGGGAATTGCTGGACCCCAGCCCGGATATCCATGCCTTGTTCCTTCAGTTCAATCAGATGTTCTTCTGGGGGAAGCTGGTCGGGGTGGAGGTCAGGTGGAGCCCTAAAATGACGCTGTAAGTGGTGGGACGGGGCCAGTATGGGGGGGGGGGGCGATCACTGGTGAATGTATGTGTGCAGCCAGGATGTGAATGTCCTCCTTGTATCAGATCTCTTGTAATCACCTGTATACTATGGAGGAATAGAAGTTTCCATTTCATGTTTCTGTGACATAGGTTACCTGTGTCACGGTGCGCTCCGGTTCCATGCCTTTCCAGCGGCACTCCATTTGCACCTTTTTGTTTCTTTGCTTGATGCGTTTTCTGCAACGGAAGCGCATTAAAGTGCATCTCAGGTCATGTGTTGTGTCATACAGCACCCATCAATGTGTGTTGCAATGTGTGTGGACATTCAATACAATGTACAACGAGAAGACGTGACAACGCTCGCTGGGTACACACCTAACCCCAGAGGTGTGTTGCCATCGTCACTCACTGCCCAGGAGATCACCAATCACATAAAAAATAAGATTGATACTAGGGATGCACCTAAACATATCGGCCAAATATAGTCCTATCAGCATTGTGCCGATACAGGTGCCGATACAGGGAACTGTGTGTACTGCAGAGGTGAGGGGGGGCAGAGAAAGGCAGGAGAGGAGCGGTGTATACAGTGACTGGCTGTCTCTAGATGTCAGTGCCTTTTCTGGCAGCACACCACAACACGTGTTAGTGCATTGCCGTGCACCTCTGTCAGCAAAGTCTGTTGGAGTGCCATTCAGAATGAAGGACATCACACTGATGCAAATATCATTGTGGGAACATCTGCAGAAATGTGAATAAAGCCTAGCATGTTTTGATGCTTTTCATTTGGTATATTCTTCATATATTCAGAATTACTCTTGTTTCACATAGGCTTCAGCTTGTATAAGAGCAGTGTGAACAGGAAGCTTTTGCAGAGCTTTGTTAAACCTTCTAAAGTACCATTCAACTCCAGTTTGTAAATAGTGAACACATTATCCTACAAGGAGTGCTGATTGCCACTTTAAACAAGCTGCTAGCAGGCTTCAGCACTATGTGAAGCTTGTTGAAAGCCTGCTAGCAGCTTGTTTAAAGTGACAATCAGAATTCCCAATACGTTCTGTGTATAGCATTTACAAACAAGTGCTATAGGACTCTATAAAGATCTAGGCCTCATGCACACTGCCGCTCAACGTGAGTTCAAGAGCTTGTTGCCTTTTTTTTTGCAAAATCCCCCAAAGTCAACTCAATAAAAGCCTATGGGGTTGATTTACTATAAGTAAATGTACTGTGCACTGCAAATGCAGTTGCTTTATGTCTGAGGGGAAGCTCTGAAATGAGGCGAAGCTTTGTTGATTTTTTTCATTCAATCATGTGCAAGCAAAAAATGCTGTTTTTTATTTTCCTTGCATGATCCCCTCAGATCTAGAGCACCTGCACTTCCAAGTACACTTGCAGTGCACAGCCTATTTGCCTTTAGTAATTAGACCCCATTGTGTCCATGCACACATAGACTTTTAACAGAGTTTAACAGCAGCAGAGTTTAGGGTCAGTTAATTGTTTTGGCCAAAAACGTATGTAAACGTGCCTAAGTGCTAACCACATTTAGTGCTAATTTCAATGGCACGTACTCTGGCCAATGAAATTAGCACCATCAGTTTACGCAGCGCTTTACTTATAGATTGTACATTCACATCAGTCCCTAACCCTCAATGGGGCGTACAATCTAAGGTCCCTAACTCACATTCATACATACACATATATTAGGGCCAATTTAGACAGGAGCCAATTCACCTACCAGAATGTCTTTGGAGTGTGGGAGGAAACCGGAGCACCCAAAGGAAACCCACGCAAGCACGGAGAACATGCAAACTCCAGGCAGGTGGTGCTATGGTTGGGATTTGAACCGACGTTCCTAGTACTGCCAGGCAGAAGTGCTAACCACATAGCCACTGTGCTGCCCATGATATGCAGCTAAGCAGTGGTTGAAAGGTGAATCGGCAGTGCCTGTACTACAGAATATAGAAATAGGAGGACAGTGAGATGAGACTAAAGCTGGCCATAGATGACTCAAACATCAGCTGAATCTGCGAAAATGGGTTGAAAATGGAACTGAACTGAACAGAAGATGGATGTGCAATCAAATGTAAATTGATCAGTTATCTGTTTTTCTATGACGGTGTAGATGCCGCTGTGTGAAAGGGGTCCATAAGCCGGCAGGTACAGAAAGCAAAGGATAAATCTGTGTATATGGGAAATGAATACAGGCATGTATTTACGTATCTATTTTTTGTATTCTGTTTTTTTGTAGATGTGCAGGAGTTTGCGCCTATGAAGGAAGGGGAGGCTTGTGTTCTATACGTCTCAGTAAACCTCTGTTGTCATTTAGACCAAGAAAAGATCTTGTAGAGGTAAGCTGAGCATATAGCTAAAAGAGAACACGGAAATCATACAACATAAATGTTACACAAACCATTTACTAATTCGGTAATAAAATGACTTTTCTGCTTGGTCTGCAGTCATTGTGATTATCTAAAACTATCAAGATATTCTGATTCACTTTTGTGACCTATGGCAGCAATGCTCTGGGCAACATTTCCCAGAATTCCGAGGCTGCATTCATCCCTTTTGATACGAAGACTTATTTGTTTTATAGCCCACATTGTTTTTTAACATGCATAGCAGAGCCATACAAAGCAGTGTGCTTACAGTGGCAAGCACAGACACAGCCCCATAGTAAAACGAACACAGTTTAACCCCTTTGGTTGCCCCAGATGTTAACTCCTTCCTGCTCAGTGCTATTAGTACAGTGTCAGGTCTTTTTATTAGCACTCATCACTGTATTGGTGTCACTGGGGATGTCAGTGACAACAAGTCAGTTCCCCCCAGTGTCAAAATGCCCGCCGCAGTCCCGCTATACGCCACCATTACTGAGCGTTCCCCCCCCCCCCCCCCGACTTTGCTTTTGGTGTGTCTTATCTCTGTTTTCTTCTTCCTTTTTTTTTTTTTTTCCATCCCCTACATCTCTTCTAACGTTCTGCTATACCTTTGTGATCAGTACTGCTTGGACCTGAAGAAGGGGACACTCCCCGAAAGCTAACAAAATTGTTAGTGCAAATAAAAAAGTATCATGGACAGTACTCAATTGTTTCTGTAGCAAAAAATAATTCCACTATATATATACTGCCATTTGTAACCACTATAACTTCCACGTAAACCAATTAATTTACACGTATTGGGATTTTTTTTTTTTTTTAGCAAAGACATGTAGCAGAATACATTTTGGCCTAAATTTATGAGAAAATTTGATTTTTAAAATTTTTTTTATTGGACATGTTTAATAGCAAAATGTCCCAAATATTGTTTTTTCTCTCAAAATTGTCAGTCTTTTTTTTGTTTATATGGCAAAAAATAAAAACACAGAGGTGATCAAATACCACCGAAAGAAAGCTCTATTTGTGGGGGAAAAAGGACATACATTTAATTTGGGTGCAGTGTTGCATGAGTGTGCAATTGACAGTTAAAGTAAGGTAAAAAATGGCCTGGTCAGAAAGGGGGGTAAATCCTCTGGAGGGCAAGGGGTTAATAGGTTTTTGATACTTCAGGATTTCCTGTGGCGCTAATAATTGAGAAGTTTTAAATGTGTGCATCTTCTTAGATGTGGTGGCTGCATTAGTTTTCTTTTTTTAAGCTTTCTTCCCTTAGGTTTCCCCAGGTTATCCACTCCTATTAGAGTACCCCCATTCTGGATGAAGGAGCACAGGGGCACCTTTGGACAATAGCATTGTTAATCTGTGGGGAAGGACTATTAGATGCACTAGCAGATTTAAATACAGTAACAAATTGAAGCTGAATTCCAGCTAATTCTTTATAAGCAGTAATAGCTAATAGTTTTTTTCCTTTTGAAATAAAGGTTTTACGTAAAAAATAAAAGTTGATCATTCTAAACACCCTTGTCAGTGGTAAATAGTTTGTTTCAGCCCTGTAACTGCTACAACTGCAGAACAGTCTGCTCTTTTGAAAAACAACAGACTTACTGGTAGGATCACCGGGTGTAAATAAAGGAAAGATAAACTAAAAAATAAAAATGAATGCAGCCATCACATCTAAGAACTGGTAAACTGCACTATAGTAAATGTTTGTTTTTGGGTTTATTACCACTTTAACCCTTTCGTGACTGGTATCTAGATGACCAGAACAAGTTCATCAGTGTTAACTTGAGCATAACTTTGACTAACTTATTTGCATACCTAAATAATTTTTACAAAGTGTCATATTATTATACAGGATTTATATAGTGCCAGCAGTTTGCGCAGCGCTTTACAATATAGGGGAGACAGTACAATTACAATACATTTCCGTACAGAAGGAATATGAGGGCTTTGCTCATGGAGCTTACAATCTAAAGGAAGGGGGAGGTGATACAAAAGGTGATAGCTGTGGTTGATGATCTGGTGGAGGTGATTCAAGTACAGTTCTTAGGTGGAGGTGGGGTAGGCTTCCCCGAAGAAGTGAGTTTTCAAAGATCGCCTAAAGGCAGACAGGGTGGGGGCTGACTGGACATGCTGTGGTAGGGAGTTCCAGAGGATGGGAGAGGCTCCGGAGAATTCCTGGAGGCGAGCATGGGAGGAGGTGATGAGGGAGCTAGAGAGGAGGATATCATGGGAGGAGCAGAGTGGGCGATTAGGTCGGTATCTGTGGATGAGGTTGGTGATGTAGCTAGGGGCAGTGTTGTGGATGGCTTTGTAAGCTGTGGTTAGCATTTTGAATTTTATACGCTGGGTTAGTGGAAGCCAGTGGAAGGATTGGCAGAGAGGGCCAGCAGTCTCTGATCGGTTGGTAAGGTGTATGAGTCTAGCAGCAGCATTCATAGTAGACTGAAGGGGGGATAGCCTGTGTAACGGTAGACCAGTGAGGAGGGAGTTGCAGTATATTAGATAATAACAATTGTGCGCTGCCAAAAAGGATAAATAAAAAGACTCAAATGTGAATAAGTTGCTGCAAACACATGGGATGTGTGCTCATCTATAAAACTCAATATATATGTGTAAAAGTGTTGCGCTGCTCAAAAAACACAAATAAAAAACACAAAGTCCAAATAACACCTATGTGCACATAAACGTGAAGTCCAACATAAAAAGTCCAAATGAATACAGAAAAAACAACTCTTCAGGAATTCTTGGTGGGAAGGACCATGTATCTACTGGAAAGTAAACCCACAATCCTGGTGCTGTAACTCTTTAAAGGAATACACCGCCATGGTGAGTATATGGTAGAAATGGACCCTCACCTTCATATGTGGACCCATATGAGAAACAGGTCAATAGGGCATCTACCCTTTTATTGGGGGTAATGAAGTGATCTTTTCCAGGCACAAAATCTTCCCTTTGTATATGGTCACTGTGTCCTCCAACAAGCCCTCTAAGCGATCAGGTCGATTCTGCAAATGGAGCTCAACAACCATATATTTCTGTATTCATTTGAACTTTTTAATGTTGGACCTTCCCATTTATGTTATTTGGACTTTTTTTTTTTTGTTTGTGTTTTTTGAGCAGCGCAACACTTTTACACACACACACATATATATATATATATATAGTAGTGTGTGTGTCCCCTATTACTCTGCCTCTTCCCCCTCTCTGTCACAATTTGAACTTTTTTTTTTTTTTTACTAACATTTAGTGTAAGTGAAAATTGTGACCCCCCCCCTTCTAGATTCTGCAGATATGCTGCAGGGATTTGGGTCCCAAGTGAGTCTTGCTGCACATCTGTGCAAAGACAGCTATTGTTTAAGTCTCCTTTTGTATGTGCAGAGGTGCTGGGGAAGTTCTGCAAACTTTATTCTTTTCTGTGTTTGCTGTGGATTGTAATTGTTGTGTTCCACTTATTGACTTTGATGCCTTGCATGGAGATAGCTATTTGTAGTTTACAGATAAAGACTGGTGGTAGTATTGTCTGTGAATCCTGGTGTAAGAAGTTGATTGATTTTCTGCTTTACAGACATTACTCCATGAAATGATCCATGCTCTTCTGTTTGTCACACACAACAACAAAGATCGGGATTCTCATGGTCCAGAATTCCTCAAACATATGAATCGAATCAATAGTCTTACTGGTGCCAAGATATCTGTAAGTATGTCATGAATTGTTTTACCATGTAGGTTTAGTCAGTAGGACAGAAGGGGTCCAGGCCAGGATTTTTAAATAGATGCTTTAAGCAATTATATTGTATCTAAAAATTGTGTTTGCCTGTCTTACACTGATCCAAGGTTTCATTGCATTAAAAAAAAAAATGCAAGACCTTGGGGATTCTTTATGTCCCTTTTTGTAAGGCTTTATACAATACAAATTGTATAAAGCCTGACGAAGGGGTCTAAGGATTCCTGAAAGCTTACATTCCTAGTAATTTTAAGTTAACCATCAAAGGGTAGCCATACCTCCTGCTCCCTCCTCACTGGCTGTGATTGACAGCAGCTCAATGGCTCCCACTGTTGTTTCTGAGCCAATTGCTCTCGTACATATCACTGAATTGAGATCAGGCCCAGGTAAGTATTTTGGGGGGGGCTGGGTGGAGCTGCTTTTTCACCTTAATGCAGAGAATGCATTAGAGTAAAAAACCTTCTGCCTTTAGAAACACTTTAAACTAAACTGTCTGCAAAAACTCAGTAAACCTTGGATGACCAAAAACGTTATTACAAAATATATGAAAAATATTTTTAAAAATACATTTCAAATATACTGTGTGTCTTTAAAAATACAAGTCTACATTTTTGGAATGCATTTACAAATATGTAAAATTATGTTAAAATGACTTTTTTATATGTTAAAAAAAAATCTGAAGAATAGATTGTAAGCTCCCTCTTGTATTGAACTGTATTGTTGCTGTATTGTCTCCCGTTACATTGTAAAGCGCTGAGTAAACTGTTGGTGCTATATAAATCATGTATAATAATACCTATTGTTTTTAACCTAGAGACAGTGTGAACATAAATGTTTTCTTAGGCTAGGTTCACATCTCCGTGTTCCTGCGTTTTGCGTGGGGATGAGAGCCCATTCATTTGAATGGACTCCCGTGCCCCAGGACACACAGGGAAGAAGTCCCTGCACTTCTTTGGAAAATGCAGCCCACACGGGAACCTTGGTTCCCAGTACGGTTGCAATTTCCAGTGCAGGCGACGTGCCATTAGAATTAATGGCACCTGCCCGCTGGTCCGCATTCCTCTGTGCGGGTGGTGCGGCTGCACGGATTTTTATGCGGATCCGCAGCAGCACCACCCGCACAGATGTGAACCAGGGGAAACAGGCTATTTGTAAACTTCACAAACTCATGTATTTTTCTTTGTGCTGCTTTGACTATCATTGTAAAAGGATTGTATTCCTTTATCTTCAATACCTGATTAGGTGTATCACAGTTTTCATGATGAAGTAGATGAATACAGAAAACACTGGTGGAGGTGTAATGGCTCCTGCCAACACAGAAAGCCATATTTTGGATATGTGAAACGCGCAATGAACCGAGCACCATCTGCACATGATCCCTGGTGGGCTGACCATCAAAGAACTTGTGGGGGAACTTTCACAAAGGTGAAAGAACCAGAGTCCACTTCTAATAAAGACAAGAAAAAGGAGAATGTTTCTGAAAGTGAGGCCAAGAACATGACAAAAGGTAGTAATGGTTTTATGATAACATATTTATTCATTTCACTCCATCTTTTTGATTTTTTTTTTTTTTTCTGTGAATTGTTTATATGTACACATTCTAGGTGAATCATATATACTAAGGGCTTGAACTTATTACTAATTGTCAGGCTGACGTCACAGAGATAATTATACCTTTGGTGACACTTTGTCATCAGCGAAGCACATGGGAGAGGCTTACTTTTATATTTACAGAAGTACTCCTTTGCTGGGCCAGAGTGCTGACCTGCCAAATTTCACATGATAGCAAGGGAGCGATGTCTCACTGGTGTGACGATTGAAGGAATGACTCCAATAAAATCAGTTAGTAAGTTAGCGATCTTGTTCCTTGTGTGACATGATCCTTTGGATGCATGACTTCACATTAGTTTCTGGCAGGAAATCTAGCTGGCTCATCATATTAAAGAAAGAAAAAAAACAGGTGGGGACCTGAGGGGCAGACTTATTTTCCAGTGCATTTTTTTCCCTATGTTCTTCAGGCCATCTTTTATCTTTTTTTTTTTTTTTCACAGCTTCTGCTGTGCTCTGTGGATAAATTGCAATAGAGATATCTTGTATGTATTTGTATGATGCTACGAATGGAATAAAACACCAATTTCAAAACTTATAAACAAAAAAGAAAGCTAAAAGTATGGCTTCTTAAAAAAATAAACAATTATACTTGCATACCTAGATGGCTGCAGCTGTCCCCCCCCCCGTTGCCTCTAAGACCGAGAACTGAGCGATAAAACACCACAGATCACTCGGCTCTCAGTCTTCAGCCTGCAGAGAGCCCATGACTGTCAGTCTTGGCTCTCTGCTCTGCCCCTCCAGTGCTCACTGGAGCGCTGGGCTTTCGAGGGAACGGAGGGAGCTGCTGAGAGCCTGATCCAGCTGCCAAGCCCAGGCTTCTGGGTAGCTCCTGACTTAAAGTTGGGAGCTTATCTGAACCTGGACCAGCTGAGTGTGCTTTAGCCAGGTGAGGGCTGAAAACAGGTCACAAGAGTGCAGAACAAACTGCAATCATGTGATCCATAGGAGAAGCATAGTCATAATAGCTTTTGGCTATACTTCTCCCTGAAAAGCTAAGATTAAAAAATGTCACTGTGTACTGTCATTAAGATATGCACTTGTACATGGTATGTAAATCTGCTAGAAATAGGGTGGCTATTTTCAGAAGGCCCCTAGCAATAGACAGCTTCATTATGTAAATGATTGCAAGCATGCTTTAAAATGGTGTATAAGTGCAGATGCATGTGGAAAATCTGCAGGTTGAAACTGGGGAGCAGATTAAAAAAAAAACCAAACACTTCTTTTTTTTTTTTTTTTTTTTTTAAATTAGTGAAGACCCTTCAAGGTATTGTGATATAAACACATTTGTAGATCTTTTTGTGCGTGCTTTAAAGGAGAAATTCACTAGCAGTGAATATTTGGTAAAAGTCATTCCTTGCTTTATAAATAAGCCCTTAGGTGTGTGAATGGGACCTCTTTAACATGCAGTGCAGTAGAAGATATACAGTGTGTGGACTAATGATATTGCATATTGATTTTTTTTTTATTTTCACATTCTTTTGTTGCAGGAAAAAGTGAGGCAATTGATATTCGTACATTTATGCCTTTTAGTGGTAAAGGTTACAAGCTTGGTG